TGGGGTGCAGATAGAGGATGGAGTGAAATAGGACGGCATTCCAGGAAGCAGGAACAGCATTACTAAAAGCCCAGAGCTGTGAAACAGCTTGACACATTGGAAAAACTGCGATAGTTCTGCATGGTCCTAAGTAAGATCCTTTGGGCTGCAGCATGCGGATCTGACTATAGGAGTGAGAGGTGCCAAGGCTGGGTAGAGTGACAGGTAAGGTGCTGCGACGCAGAGTCCGGGGAAGGCAAGTGGACCAGGGAGGGGTGCAGGAAGGAACAGAGCAAATGGGCTCAGGCACGAGAGAGGAAAGGTGACCTCGGAGTGCTGAGCTGAGAGCCATGGGACCAGTCGCTGAGCTGGCAAAATAGGAGGGGCAGATTCGAAAGGTGGGACAGTGAGTTCTGCTTGGACCTGGCAGGTTGACGGTCCTCAGGAGCTGTCCAGGAGAGAATGGAATGTGTGATCTGTGTGATTGTGTAGTTCAGAAGAGAGGTGTATAGAGGGACTGCTGCACTGTCCAGAACAGCCTGGCCAGACAGGCCTATACACACATTGTCTGTTGTAAAGGGTGAGACCACCACGAATGGCCAGCAAAGAGGATGTTTATGAAATTTGCATTCCACAGAGAGACTGGGAGAAGGCATCTCTGATGGTTGCTATTCCAGTACATGTGTTATTGTACACAGCAATTCCCCTTTCTAATTCAGCACCCAGGGAAATCCCCTTTCTCCCTTACCATCAAGCTCTGAGCACAAGAGGCCAGCCCACGAAAGTCTTTCATGTTAATTTCACCCTTATATGCTTATTACAGATCTTCTAGGCTCTCAATATATATATACATACACATCCTGCACATACATACAGGTGTGTGTATGTGTGTCTGTGTTCAACAGGATTGTGGAAATTTCCACTGACAACAGCATTATATCAAAGTGTATGATTCGAGTTGTCCTTGCCAGTGTTGGGTAAGAGCATTTCAAAAATATTTGCTAATTGCATGGGTAAAAAATATTATTGTTTTGTATTTTTTATGTTCAGTATTGTAACTCATTTTATATTATAGTTTAAGTTGAGTATTAATGGATCCCCAAAGAAAATGCATTATCAAATTCTAGTATTATTTTTTCTCAGCCATTTGCTCCAAAATGCAAAAGTTTTCAAAAGAGCTTAAATAGCAGAGTAAAAGCTATTTATTTTTCTTAAGGTTCTGACATTTTCCCTTCGGTAAATTGAAGCTACTCTTGATTACTTTAGATTTTAATTTAATATTTTATTATATGAATTTCCAGTTTCCTAATGTGTATTCTTTCATCGGTACCTAATGTGTATTTTTTTTAAAGATTTTTATTTATTTTTTGACAGAGAGTGAGGGAACACAAACGGGGGGAGTGGGAGAGGGAGAAGCAGGCTTCCCACTGAGCAGGGAGCCCAATGCGGGACTCGATCCCAGGAGCCTGGGATCATGGCCTGAGCCGAAGGCAGACGCTTTAACGACTGAGCCACCCAGGTGCCCCCTAATGTGCGCTTTATCTATATAACCTCTGAATTTATTCCATGCCTTGAAATGCCAATAACATATCTTAAAATTCTGGTCTTTAAATGATCATATGACAAAATTGATGGTTATTCTTGCTGTATAATTCTGTGAATTTAAATCTAGATTTCTGTGATCACTACCACAATCAGGCTATCATACAGCTTTATCTTCTCTCCAAAATTTGTTCATGCTATATCTTTATAATGCCCTGTCCCTTGTCCAAACCACTGCTAACCACCGTTTTCTCCAGAGTTTTGTCTTTCAAGAATGTTATATAAATGCAATTATATAGTATTTTGTTTTATTTTATTTTTTTAAGATTTTATTTATTTATTTGACAGAGAGATAGAAAGAGTACAAGTAGGCAGAGCAGCAGGCAGAGGGAGAGGGAGAAGCAGACTCCCCGCTGAGCAGGGAGCCCGATGTGGGGCTCGATCCCAGGACTCCAGGATCATGACCCGAGCCGAAGGCAGACGCTTAACCAACTGAGCCACCGAGGCTCCCCTTGTTTTATTTTTTTTTAAAGAATTATTTATGAGAGAGAAAAAGAGTGCAGGAAGGGGAGGGGTAGAGGGAGCAGGAGAGAGTTTCAAGCAGACTCCCCACTGAGCACAAAGCCCCATGTGGGGCTCAACTCTATGACCCTGAGATCGCGACCTGAGTCAAAATCAAGAGTCAGACACTTAACTGACTGAGCCACTCAGGTGGCCCATATCTTGTTTTATTTTGCTTTTCTTAAATTGCTCACAAGGCTGAACATTTTCCCATATACCTGGTTACAATCATGTTTGTTTTTTTTAATATTTGGTGTAGTTTGTGTCATTGCCACTTAATTACTTGGGTCATAGGCAGTTTTTGTTTTGTTTGCTTTTACAAATTTGTATACACTTATTGTGTAAGAATGATGCTTAGTTACTGTTCATTGTACTTTCCCTGTGAAGTCTTTGTCTTTAGGTTTTATTATTTTCTTTAAATGTGTAAGACTTAGAAATAGTAATAGCACCTGATCTAGTAATATTGAATTCTCTAGTGATCTAGTCTGATGCAATATTCCTAAGTCAAAAAAAAAAATTGTAGAAAGGTGCTTATCACAGCATTATTTCTATTATGGAAAATCTGGAAACAGTCTAAACATGTAACTATAAGATTTCAGTAAAGCAGATCATGGAGCTGCCCCTCATTAGGATATCATGCAAGAATTAAAAGGATGCTTACAAAGATGACATACTAACTTGGACAATTTTTGTGGTAAAATGTTAAATTAAAAAGCCAAAGATAATCCCATAAGCACAGTACGGGCATAGCACGTAGAACAAAACCACAAAACCTGTTAATTAAAAAAGACTAAAGAAAATACATCAAAATAGTAATAGTGATTTGCTTTTGCTGGTGGAACTATGAGGAGACTTTTTACCAATTTGCATATTTTCTTTATTTTGTATAATGATCACATTGCTATTAATTGTAGGAGGGGGGAAAGTTTTGAGTAGCTCAGGATTAAAATGCTTCCTTTTGCCTTAAAAACACACCCCTGAGTGAACAACATGTTAGGTTCAGCATACAGATGCCGATTCTGTCTTCTAGATATCAGAATGTCAGATCACGTCACTGTGACTAGACCTTTAAAAAGAGGGGCAATGGTTTGGCCATTGAACAGGTGCATGCATTGGGTAAACTGCCAAAATGCTCATCGTGAGGAGCTATGGCAAATGAATCTAGACTGCTAGGGGGGTAGGAAGTCAGCTGATGTCTAAGCAAGGCATGCTGGAGGAGAGAGGCTTCCACTACGACTCTCCCGTACTCTACCAGAAACCCTGGTCACCCTAGAGGTTTCGCTCTGCTCCCCAGATAGGCTTTCCCAGGTGCATGTTGTGCTGCTGCTAATTCTGAACCCAGCCTGGAAATAGCAGAGTGACACAGCCGTCACTGAAGGTCACCGTGGTTGTAACTCGGGCTTTATGAGTCAATGAGCCCTCCAGATTCAAATCCGAATTAATTACTCACCTTTACTCGTGCTGAGGAAATCTTCAGAGTGTCCACACATGGTAAACACTCTCATAAATGAGGATAGTTCTTGGCGTTATTTCCTGATTGGTGCAGAAGTAGAGGCTTGTCCAGAAGACCTATGTGACCCAGGGAAGGGGGGTTCTCAAGGAAGTTTTTTCCAGAGAGCTCTTAGTCATTAGCTCGGCTCTTGTCCAAGAATCCTAAATTCGGAGGGTGAAGGCGGCCCCTAAAGACACATCTAGAAGTCATCTAGCAACTGTTTCAACAGTGTGATTTATACAGAATGTGTTTCAGAGGCTAAGAACACCTGACAAATATGATGATTCTACAACCATCTCCTTTAATTAAACCTGCTAAACTGTGGGAAATTGAAACTTCCTTAGAATTCATGAAGTTAATAGCAGTTGTCAAGAGCCCCTAAGCTGTCTCTGTAGATTCAAAAAATACCCAAAGACCACCAGCATTTCAGAGAACTAGCGGTCTTTAATGGCTCTGCCAGATTCGGGATTATGGGCCCCAGATTTCCAGTTATGCTGTTGATGCTCACATGTGGGCTCCTATTATTCTGAGGAGTCGTCTTTCTTTATACAAAGGTTGAAAGACAGCTCATACTTTATTCTTCTTATCTTTGGCTTACTTAAGAGAGTGAGGGGAAATTAAGGAGGAGAAAACAGTTCAAGAAGAGAGAAGAAGCAAAGAAGTAACTTTTCATTGAATACCAGAGGATAGTTTCAGATTAATGGGACCTCATGGAAAAGTAGGTTAAAAAAAAAAACAAGGAACGGGGGGGGGGGGTGGATAGTTGAGGTAAGTGGCCAAGCAAGGACAAGGAAGGACTGGCAGATGCAAAATCAGACTAGAATCCTAGAATTTGTTAGCCAACATTATGATGGTTTTCACCTATATCTCTAGGTACGTGTAATTATTGGTAATTTGGCTTTTGTGAAGTACTTTGTTTATCCTTAGATGATAAAGCATGGTTTTATGGTGGGCAATGATTTAGGGTTTTTTTTAAGTGGTTTATAATGTTCAAAGGCTTATTACATATATAGGTATAGGTATGTGCATATATACATACATATATGCACATGTTCATGACTCTGAAGAAAGTAGACCCTTCTGAAGTGTCTGAAGTAAACAGAGTTCAGCTGCTAAATGCCCAGAGCCAACTGCGTCACACACATAAATAGCCTGTATAAGAATTTTGTGGTGTCATATTTAACTGTTGTGACTAAAATAGACTCACCCTTTCTAAACTGATTTTCTTGTTATTGTATATTGTTTCTTGGGTACTTACTTGAATAATAGAAGAAATAAAATGTTGGAAATTTTTTGCCTCTCTCTGCAATTATTAAATGCAACTCCATTAAATTAAGAGCGGAATTATAGTTCTAACTGATGAGGTCAAACAATGCAGACATCCAGAAAGCCTCTTTCCTTGGCAAGTCAGTCTGTGGTTTGGGGTGAGCCCAGTAATGTCCTTTGCAGAAGGGGAAGTAAAAGCATTTGTTCAAATGGATAGTTGAACCATTTGAGCTTCTGGGCTGCTGGTGATAACGCACTGGATTAAGTGGGAATGGGACACCAAAAATAATTTATTTTATAGCATTTGTCTTTTGTCATTTTGCAGGGAGCAACCATGTCACCATTTCTTCGAATTGGTTTGTCCAACTTCGACTGTGGGTCCTGCCAGTCATGTCAAGGAGAGGCTGTTAACCCTTACTGTGCTGTGCTTGTCAAAGAATACGTTGAATCGGGTAAGCTTGAGTGGGTATTCGGGGGGCGAGGGGTGGGTGGGGAGGAAGGTCCTGCTGTGAACTATGAGGCAAGTCCTTCCAGGAGCTTCAGTCATCTGGTTCAACCTAGTTTTACACTAGAAACATTTGATGCCCGGCCAAGCCAAGTACTTCCTCAAGGGTGTAGGAGGTAGTGACAGACTCTGAAGGAGACCCAGATCTCCTACCTCATGTTTCATTTCCCTGTGCCATTTTTCTACATAAGCAAAAGGAACAAAGGAAAGGTGAGGAGTTAATGGGGCCAATAAAATCTACTGGTAAGCTCAAGTAGAACATGGGACCCATATCGTTAACCCTGGTTGTTTCCAATGATTACAGATAGATTAAGTCTTCATAATCTTACAATTAACCCTAAAGACGGCTTATTTCTTCTTTGGGCTGAGCTTAGATGAATGTTAAAAGAATATGTAATTAGCCATGAGAATCCAAATTTCAGAAAACTTGTATTTACAAAACCCTGGATGAGTGAAAAAATTGTCGTGTTTTGTCAAACGTAAATATTTCTAGGCAGTTCATGGTGAGGGGGAAAGTGTGACAGATCCCAAGATTCCTTTTGTGGGTTTAGATCATTCAATTAAAATAATCCTATGCTGCCTGGAATCTCTCCACGGAAGTTTACATCCCAACATTTTCCCAGTTTTACTACTTTTCTCTAGTTCCCTCCATACCTTTCTTGTTTTAGCAGACACATTGTAGAGACGTGATTAACACCGATGCAGGTTGTAGTAACTGTAGGAGCCATTCCAATTGACTTACACAGAAAGTATTTATGGAGTGGGAGAGAAAAAGTGCCTTTTCCTTAGAGCTTCTATTCTAGCAGAGGAAGAGAGGCATGGAACAAACTGGAATATATAGAATAATGATAAATGCTGGGCAGGAAACCTAAGCAGGGCAAAGCGGGGGGCAAAGGCTTGGGGACAGAGAGGTGTGTTTTATTTCATATAGGGTAGTCCTTAAAAGGCCTCTTATGGAGTGGCATTTACAGATGCAGGAAGAACCCGATTCAACAGTTGAGAACCTCCAACGAGGTGTTTCCAGCTCAGAATCTTGGGTTTCCCAATCCTACCATGCTGGCTTTTTCCTCCCTTAGAAGACTTGTGCTTTGTGATTGACTCCATCCTTCTAGCCACTGTGAGTGCATCAAAGCTGAGGAGAATGTCTGAATCATCCTGATTTCCCTTCTGCCTGATTTCTCTCCTGTTTAGTTTAAAGTGAGACTAGCACTTGCTCCCAATCTAAAACCTTTCAAATGTCACAGAAACCTTTGAAGTATAAAATGTCTGAGTTTTTCAAAGCCGGTTTTGACTTAATGGGTCTCCTGGATCCCATTCTCTATAAGCACAGGGTCTCACTGACATTTGCCTCCTGAGAGCCTTTTCTAGATTTCTTCTTCTTCTTTTGGCCTTGCCTTTGAACTTGGTCTGATCAGCCATGTGGATCAAGAGACCTTATCAGAAAAGAAGACTTTGTTTTTCCAAAAGGTTAGCCTGCAGAGTTCAGAGATTTTGGTTTTTGGTTTTGTTTTGGTTTTTGTTCTGAAAAGGAATCACTCTGCACATCACAATTCAAGTATTACTTCTATAGAATTTATGGGGTTTTTTATTTCTTAATTTGATTATAGTTGACACACAGTGTTATATTCATTTCTGGTGTGATTCGGTAAGTCTATACGTTACGCTATGCTCGCCACAAGTCTACCTACCATCTATCACCATGCAACACTATTACAATACCATTGGCTAGATTCCATATGCCCTACCTTTCATCCCCATGACTTGTTCACTCCAGAACTGGAAGCCTGGACCTCCCGCTCCCCTTCCCCCATCTTTCCCCTTCCCCACCCCACCCCTCTAGAAACCATCAGTTTGTTCTCCATATTTATAGGTCTGATTCTGCTTTTTGTGTATTTATGAATTTGGTTTTCTTAGATTCTACATATGAGTAAAAAATCATAGGCTATTTGTCTTCTTTAATTTGACTTCTTTCACTTAGCATAATACCCTCTAGACCATCTATGTTGTTGCAGATGGCATGATCTCATCCTTTTTATGGCCATATAATATTCCATTGTGTGTGTGTGTGTGTGCACGCGCGCGCGCGCGCATCTTCCTTATACATTTGTGTATTATTGGACACTTAGGTTGTTTCCATATCTTGGCTATTGTAAATAATGCTGCAATGAACATAGAGGCACATGTTTCTTTTCAAATTAGTGTTTTTGTTCTCTCTAGGTAAATACCCAGCAGTGGAAGTACTGGATCGTATGGTAGTTCTATTTTTAAGTTTCGAGAATCCTCCATACTATTTTCCACAGTGGCTGCCCCAGTTTTTAAAAATGTATCCATCTTGGAGGTCTTAGATTGCATTTTCCATGATGAGTCAACAGAACAGGGACAAACAGGGCAGTGCTGTCAGTCTGAGAGCCTTTAGAAATGGTAAAACTCACTGTAAGTAGATAGGATCCTGAGTTCTGGTCCTCTTTTTGGGGGATTACAAAGCTAGTGAATGAAAAGGTGAGAAGAGCCTTACCACAGGCATCCCTGTCCCTTGCAGGGGCGTGGAGAAAGGTTGCAGCTGAGGACTTATGAGAAAGAGGGGCTTTCCATCTGTGGAAGTAAAATGTTACTGTGGTCATCAGAATTGCCACTGGTATTTTTAAAAAGTGCCATCTCCAGTTAATTTTTTTTTTTAAGCAAGCCGTAAAAACCCTCCCCTTTCTCTTCCACCTTTGACATTGTCAGAGTTTATCCCTTTAATAGCCAGGTTTATCTAAAATTAGAAGTTTCTGTTTATTTAAGTGCTTGTATACCTCCCAAATGACAATTTAGGAAATGCTCGGTGCATGTTCTGCTTTGGCATTGTGCATCAGAGAAGGGGCCATCAGGAGTCCGAACTGCTTTGTTTCCATGCTTAAATGGATCTTGCTTTACCAACATCTCTGAATTGCTAAATCTGCCACTTAGTGGCTTATTATCACAAGAAACCAATACTCAAATACAGCTGCAGTTTGCTGTTCCTGAAATGATTAAAGAATAAATACTACAGAAAATCCAGTGGGGATGAAAGATACGCCAGTATTACTTAATTCCACTAGCAGACTCTTTCCCAATCACTTGGTGGTTCCTGAGAGGTTTTCCTTACACTTTATTACCCTAACCATAGTTCTTGTCATCAGCCACTTCCAGGTCTCCTGCCTGCGTGCCTTTTCTCACGTGTAGGTCTATAGCCTGCTTTCCTGATCGAGGGATTGAGAACACTGCCTCTCTGAGTACTTGTTAGTTTTTGCGTAGGGTGGATGGTGCATGTAAAATGTATCCTCACTTGAGAATTAGAGAAAGAAATAATGGCTCATTATGTTTTAGAGGTTTTTTTTTTTTTTTTACCTCATAGTGCATTTATGTCAAATGGAAAATTTTTAAATGTCTTTTTAAGAAGCACTCACTATAAGCCTTAAATTATGCCACAGAGTCTTTCAGATGAACACACAGTACTTTTCTATCGACTCTTTTTAACCAGATGACAGTGAAATTAATTAGTTGTGTGTCCACCCTTCGTAGATCATCAAAGGAAGATACCAAAGGGCATAAACGTGTATGACATGTAGAGAATGGGACCTAGGTCACTCTACCCTCCCAAATATAGCAGACTTGGCCCCTGATGTCTTTCTATTTGCTCGAAGAAAAGCAACTAACTGTTGAATAGGAAAAGAACATTGCCAATCCAAGACTTTATCATATTTTTGTTGCTTAAATTACCAGATTGATTTTTTTACTTTAAATTTTTTATTGTTATGTTAATCACCATACATTACATCATTAGTTTTTGATGTAGTGTTCCATGATTTTTTTATGGCCATATAATATTCCATTGTGTGTGTG